CATCTTGAAGCAACAGCAGTAAAAATTTAAATACAGAAAATTGAGCTGCTCAACAATCTCATTCATGGACATCCTCACGAAAAATGGCTACTCAGTTTATCCAGTGTTAACGTATCTGATCTAAACTTCACCATCCTCTGTTCCATCACCGTCAGTCAGCATCTCAGTCCAACTTATGAAAAGGCAACAGATGCTTCACAACCTGAATTAACTGACAGTGTTTCCTACAAGTCAAACACAGAGGAGGCTGCCAGTGCAAGTCATTAACACCAACATTAACAGTCAGCCTTCTGCTCCAGGGATTACATCCACCATTGGGGTGGATGTTGGGTTTTGAGGCCCATTCAGTAACTTTCAAGGGGCCCCTTAATAATTGCATGTATTCATTTTTATGCCAGTTTCGTATCCCAGGCAATTTTACAAAATTCCTATTTAAATAATGTAGACAGTTTATTTTCATGTAAACAGAAGCATTTTTCCTCTCCAAACGACTGTTACCATAGCTCCAAATCAGTCATCAACCCCCATGTTTCTGCAGTGGCGCCTAAAGACATTTAAGGAAATAACCAACTACCAAGCTACTGCTATGATCAAGGACCTCTCTTTCATGCATCTAACAAAAAAAAAAAAGTACATACATCAAGTCACTCGCGGTTTCACATTATTAGTCCTTATACACAGTTTGCTGACCAGGCCCTCTTTCGTCATGCATTATATGCCTCCTCACGTGGATCCGTCTTACACGTCTTTCACCTCCCACAGCCCCCTCTTCCTCCGACTGGCCAGCTCCCAGCGATGAACCTGAGCTTCTTGAATCTAAGAGGTGTAAGCCTCCTGGACCAGATCCTCTGCCATTCTCATAGATGAGGATATTGAGGGTTTCTTCAAAGATTCGAGCTTCAGGAAACTCCACCTAAAAAATAAAACAAAGTGGTCAAGTTTTATCGCAAGTAGCTGATCTTTGCATGCTTAGCTCTAACTGTTAGAGATATGTGTTAATTAGCGAGCTTGTGATCTGTGGGTCGATTTTATTACCTTTGGACGGAGCCTGGTTGGTTGTTTCCCTGTCTTTAAGCTAAAAGGCTACTGTCTCACTGCCAGAGAGCAAACAGACTAATTTACTTACTTACTGCACTACACATAATGTGATGCTTACTTTGGTCTGCTTCTTCTCAGTAGCATAGACAATAGATGTGCAGCATACTTCAGCAATCTTGCGGCCTTCACCATAGAAAGACCAACAGCAGATTTCATCCCCGAGCACATCTTTGACGAACAGGACCCGACCGTTAAATCGTAGCACGAGTTTGTCAAACAGTTCAATGTTCTTCAGCAGGTTATCATCAGAGTTGCTGGTCACAGGGAGAGACAAAGAGCAAATCAAACTCTCCAAATCCACTGAGATGATTTGCTGTGGCAGAATGTGACTTGCCATATTGTTTTTCATATTCTGTGTACATTCAGCCAGCCTTAATTTTTACCTGGTGTAAGAGTATTTGTTGTTTCCTCTGTTGTTCTGCAATTTTACTACCGGCTGTAGAGAGAAGAAACAGGAATGAATCCGGGTTATTCTGTAATCTATGAGTGGAAAATTGTCTACAAATTGTACATCATACAAAGAGAACCAACTTCAATTTCCTGTTAAGAGTTTACATTTTGTGAAAGAAATTAATTCTTAAGTGGCAGTTTATAAAACAATGACTCACATTTTGAGCAGACTACAATTTTTATGGCTCCCAAATCTCAGTCTCTTCAAACAATCTATTGTTTTAGGATTTGACAGCTATTAGGCTAATACACACTTTTGTCAGTGATCTATTTGATTTGGGTGAAATGCTACTGACCTTTCTACAAGTAGCAATCATCCTCTGTTCCTCTTTGGCTGAGGTGATCATGGGGATGCGGCACACACTTTCAAAGACATCCTTTTGCTTCTGAGGGTAAACAAAGAAAGTACATTCACATACATATGCATTTAACATGTTTTCCTAATTTATACGTTTACTGATTCATTGGATGAGAATAATCAATTCATAATTAATAAAAATGTTGAAAAATTAAATAAATGATCTATTTACCTGCATGGCACTGAGACATTCCTGTACGAGTCCCTGGACCCGATAGTACTGGGCCTCCTTCAGGACTTCATCCAGCTCTTTGTGATCCTCTGGGAGTGGTACTGAACCGTCTCGCAGGAAGTTCAACACTAGTCCAAAATGTTGGCCACACCTGTCCAAAATCACCCAACCTGGGACGACGGGTACAATTATTTTAAATTTTTGCAAAATCCTTTTTTCACCTTTTCTAGTAGAACAATGGTAGGTGAGACAGACATGGTTCAAGACTAACAGTCTGAGTACCCTCAGTTAATGTCATTGGGACATTAATAAGACAATGTGATCATTTTCAAATACTCTCTGGACTCACAAATTGAGTGTATCACTTCAAACCTCAACAACACAACATGGAGAGTATTGCACATTAAAACTTAAACTGAATGCACAAATACCCCTGTTTCTAGGGGTTTCTTTTCCCCTACTGAAAAGGATTGATTCTCAAGGTCACATTATATCCACACTGATTTAAGTTGTTAATATAAGATAATGCAGCCAATCAAGTGTATGTGAAAGGGTTTAACATCTGGCCTAACTATCTTTTGGACAATAGCACAAAACTGGATGAGAATGACCAGTGCGAGACTTGCCAAAGTTCATATAGTTGACAGAATGTGTGGTGTACATCTGAATCAAATGCAATGTTTAACAAAAGAGTTTGATGTCAAACTAGCTCTCTAACAATTTCTATGTCGTCAAAAGAAAACACCTGAACAAGCCATGTTATGAGAAACAATTTCTGATATCAGTGACACAGCTTTCAAGAACAATATGGATCCAGTAAAAATGTCAATATTGAGCAGAGAGCCACATCCACCAACCTTCAGAGTCTATGTTAACCTCTGTTCCTCCATTGCATATGCTCCGCAGCAGACTGTCTTCCTTGCTTAACGTCTGGACAGTTGTATAATGCAGAGAGCCGCCCACATTTAACTTGACATACTTGCTCCCCAGCAGTCCCCGATTTCTGTGCTCGTCCGTTGTGTGGCAGGCAGGCTGGGAAACATCAAACTGGGCAGAGTCGGCAGCATGACTGCCAACTGAGGCCTCAGCAGACATGGAGCTGAAGAGTCACTTCGGGACTGTAATGAGATACACAATCCTTCATTAATCCAGAATATGAAGAATATGATGGCTTGTTTATAATCCAGGTGTGTCTGAACAGCTAGCTGTGTGGTTAAACCAATGTATAAAGACCTTAGGCTCTACAGCAGACTATATTTGAATCCGCCATACTCACTTGAACAGACAAAGAACAGTTGTGATGATTTATATTCACAGACAAAAGATACACAACATGTAATATCTACATTGCTGGAAGCTGGAGCAAGGTAACTAAGAAAATGGAATCATGAATGATGTGGATGGATATGACCACTCCCTACTGTGTCAATTATACTTAAGCTATTATAAAAATGGGTAATATGAGCAAAAGACTTACACAATTATCAAGATAAATGTCACATGATTGTTTCTTTTAAGTTCAAAGGCTCACTTGTGGTTTTAAATGGTCCTTTATGAGCAGAAAATGAATGACAGTTTGAGTTTTTCATCTTTTACATGTTAGCGTTTTATCTTTTTAAGTGTTTTTAGGGCAGGTGCTATATTGAACTCAATTTTATTCTGCATTATCATTCTGGGTCTTACACGATATGTGTAAGTGCTGTAGCTCTATGGTCCAAGACATTAGGATGAATAAGTATATTTGATTCGATAATTGAGACCCAGTACAGACTGTTAAAGATAAATGAAAACCTGGATCACCTGTATTTCAACTTTGATGGAAACTACAAAACAGATGATAAAACAAAGCTCACTACGTTGTTCCCTTTGAGAGCGAAGTGCGTCAGTGGCGAGCTCTTACTTCCCACCCTGATGTGACTGAGATACAGGAAGCGATTGTTTCTGAACGGATCGTAAATCTAAACACAACATCAATAATGTACAACAACTCATCCCGCAGTGGCATCGTGTGCTTTAACTGTTCGACGTCCATTCCCTGCGATGACAGATGAACGCACCAGTGGAATAAAAGCCAGTTTAGCAAAGTAAACACAAGAGCTAGCTTGAATCTAACTGTACTCACCACACTGAACATCCAAGAGGAGCTGCGGAGCTGAGTCTGTCTGAGCCGAGACAAAAAAAAAACCAAGTCCGCAGCTAATGCGAAGAAACAAAGTTTTACGACCCAGCCACCGTTTGACAGCTCATTTTAATCGCAGCTAAATCAAAGTGGCTAACAACAGCTAGTCTTCTTCGCCCCGCTTCAGGCCGACGACGCCCTCTCGTCTCCTGTCGCCAGTCGGACGAGGAATCAGAAAAGTAGGTGTCGAAGAAACACGCAAGGTACAAAATCAGCCGATTCCATTGTGTGACACACGGGTTAATAACAGATGCTAACGTGAGAAGCTAAGTGGGTCAATCGGAAACCAAACCGGAGCGTCTACTTCCGCTGTTCTCTTCTTCTACGTTCATCACAGTGGTGTTTGCTGTTCAATAACCGCCCTTTCTCCCAGTGGCCACAGCCTGGAACTGCATCCCTACGTTTAAATTCGCCTTCTGACGGTCACACAGGCGAACAACAAAAATACGCAAATTAAATAAATAAATAAATACATAAATAAATTAATCAATCAATACATAAATAAATCAATACATAAATAAATCAATACATAAATAAATAAATAAATAAATAAAGTGAGAATGAATATTCTGCTGAACACACACAGGCAGACACACTTTGCACAACCCAGTCTCTATTTCTTACTTACAACATATTGCACAACCTTCCCCCTCTTAGTATATTATTATATTTCATTTGAGTTTTCTTTCTTATATTTATACTTGCACAAATACACTGCTTGGCAATAAAACCAGATTCTGATTCTGATATTCAGCTCCAATAAACTCTCATATCGTCTAAAACTATTTTTGTGTGTACAATAATTCAATGCTCCACCACTCAAGCACCATTTACTGTTACTCTGTGCAATAAAACCACTGTGAAATACCGTGCAAATGTTAAATTTTTCATAGCTTAGTTTGTGCATAGGTTTTGTCTATTGTGTCTATTTTTGTTGTGTTGAGTCACTTGCCTTTTTATATTTGCATATGGAACTGGGGGAGAAACACAATCTCGTTCTGCTGTGCAGTAAAGTTCACTTTAACTTTAATTATCACATAAATAAATCTTTAAAAAAACCAAGATAAAAAAAATCAAGATAGAAATTATGATGACTTGTGACTGGAAAACTATATGGATGTTTATCTCTGTACACACAAACATATATTGACATATATTAGGTAGGATTATTAATAACAACAGGAACATCAATACTGGTAATTACTGTGTTATTATGGAAAATTAGAAGGTTTGAAGACTTCATAATGAAAGTATGTATAACAATGTATGACAATGTTTGTCACAATGTTCTTTCCATTGTATGAGTTAAATGATGTGTATTTCTACAAGGCATGATGTATATTATGTATCGTATAGATGTTACCCCGTTATATTGAATAAAAAGAAAGGTTTTACACCATTCAACAGAGACTTTATTTCCAGTTCAGCAAATAATCCACTGCCTTCAAAAGAGTGTATTTCATATATGAAGCAAAAAAATGCTACCGATGATAAGAGAAGAATTTAGTCTACAAAGCAACCGTCTCCAAAGATCCTTCATTTGTCACAGTGAATGGGACGACATCCACTGTCCAAACAATCATTTGTAAATAAATACATAATGCATCACAGCAAGCAGCCAAGTTTGCAAGTTTTCATCAACATAGTGCATACAACATCAAATCTGAGAACAATGATAACTGTCAATAACTATAATGATAATGGCAAGATTGAGCAGAAGCAATATAATTTACAATCAGTGCATGCTCTAAGCATAATGACATTCATGTCCTCGACTCTGGGTGACGGTGCACTCCAGAAACAGCAAAGAATAAAAGAAACACTGCTTTTGTAAACACTATTGCAACAACAGATGAAACACTTAGGGACATTAAAGTATTTAACATTATATTTTGGCACTGAATTTTCATCATATATATACGTATATAATGAAAATATATAACCTCCCTCCGCCACGTATAAGTGTATATATGAGGCCTATATATAGCCCTGTTTGTATATATATATGTATATATAGAATCAAGTATATATATAAACCTCAATAAATATTAAGTCAGATATTTACATTCAATTTGTGTGTGTGACACAGAGAGAAAGACAAAGTGAAGAAAAGAACATTATTTTTCTCTTGATGAAAATATAACATCCTTCCTCTTTACTGTAACGCTTTTTAAAATGTAAAATGAGTCACTCTAAAAAACAAAAGAAACACATTCAGTGTGTATTATATACTCATGACTGTAACTTTTGATTGTTACAAATATAGTATTGCCAAGTTCTCTAATGTTTTGGCCTCAAAATGATTTATCGAAATCAATAAATAAATCTCCCTTTACCCTTCCCCCTTTATTTCTTATTCTTCCCACACTTATTTTTTCTATTTTCTTTGTTGTCAATTTCTTACCCTTCATAAGGCACCAGTCCTAATGATACAGAAAATCGGATCGTGAAATAGGACCCACATTTGGCAGACCACCGCATCAGTGCATCACATGAAAATAAAGCACCTCCACCATTGATAAACCAGAGGGACAGTGGTGGTAAAACTAAAAGACACAAAGTCTATGAGAAGGGGGATGAGGCCTCAGAATATTAAGGAATTTGTTTTCCAAATGAATCTTTGTGTGGTTTATTAATTCTCACCAAAAAACACTTTCTCCTTTAAATGGACACTTCATACTCCCGTGTATCCTGCAATCAAAGTAAGAAACCAGTCAGATGGAAGAACAGAGAAAATCTCTTCTCTTCAAATACATTTTCACAAACTAACATAAGATCTCAAGACAGAAATGTTTATTAATTAATGAGAGTATTACTTTTACTTACCCCTGCCTCATAAAGAGGGTTGTTGAAATCGGACTCGACTGTGATGGGACTGTAGGAGTGTGTGTGAGACAGAGACTTCCAGAAGAGCGGCTTCCATTCTAGTCTGCAGATGCTGAGAAAATAAAGTGATGTCACCTCATGAATAAAGGCTGCAGCTCTCTCAGTGTGGAAAAGTAAGTCCTGTGTTGCTATGTGGCTGATATGGATGCATGTAAATGTTACTCACTTTGTATAGTACATATAAATCCCTCCGATCAGGAGGATGACCAGGATGATCGGCAGAATTATTGCCAAAGCAATGTTCTCACTCAGGATCTGATGGGACGGCTCGAATGACTGAGACACTGTGAAATTATCAAAAGGTCGTCAGAAAAACAGGCTATGATAAAGAACATGTGTTCAGACTGCACTCTTGATTTGATTTTAAATCTAAAATGACAAAAATATGAATAGGCTGCTAGTTCTGGAGAAACTACCTTTTCAATACAGCAATTACTTATATTACATGTGATGACTTTAAGTTGATTATTGCTGTGATATTTGTCACAGTTCCTGCGTTCAAATACAACTGTCCACCACAGTGTTGTACTGAATATCACCACTAGATGGTACCAAACAGTGTTGATTGTAGTGGATGTGAATATAATGTCACAGATGAAAGAGAACAGAAATCACCTTCTGATTTGTGATCATCCAGGAGCTCCTCATACGCCACTGTGTGAAACAGAGACGTGAATAAAGAGAAACAAAATTAGTCATAACATATTGAATAACGCATCTTTAGGGTCTCAATATATTTATGTTCTCCTACTGAAATAGTGGCAGGTAAAAAAAACATGTTTTGTGAGGTCACCATGACCTTTTACCAACAAATTCTTATCAGTGAGCCTAAGTAATGATTTGTGCAAGTTCTCTTTCTACATTCTAAAGATAACGAGGTAAAAAAGGGTTGTGAGGTCACAGTGACCTTTGACCTCCAAATTCTAATCAAGTCAGCCTTAATATGTAACATTCATAAAAACATGAGGTCACAGTGATATTGACCTTTCACAACAAAAATCTAAGCTGTTCTTGAGACGTTCACAAGAACTGGACGGACGGACAACCACAAGCATGATGTCAGTGGCTACTGGCTGTCGCCGGCGCAGAGGCATAATAATTTGTTCAAAGAAGGCCCAGGGCAGTACTGTGTATAAGATACAATATATAATGATTGAGCTTTTACCTTTGCAGAAGGGTGGCGGGCTGTTCCACTGAGAGGGGTGGCCGGGAACACAGCTGATAATGACCTCACCGATAAGTTCGTAGCCCTCGTAGCAGAAGAAACGCAGAGTCTCCCCTGCCTGGTAGCTGTGCTTGTACAATGTCTGATAACCGTTGTCAGGGACTCCAGGGTTTGGACACGGGTCATATTTTACTGTGGGGGACAGTCATGTACTTGAAGTTAATGTCCAAGGGTGCGGTGATATGCATCATAAACAGCAGAGTTCAGAGAAGGCACTTACAGACACACTTCGGGCTGCGGTCGCTCCATTTGGGTGTGCCGGTGTCTCGTCCGTGGCAGGAGATTTGGCTGGGGCCCTCCAGCTGGTAACCCTGGTTGCAAGAAAAACGGACGACTGTTCCAACTGCGAAACCGGCTTCAGGGCGCACAGAGCGAGCTCCGTTCACCACCTCTCCTGGATCAGGACACTGCTGGACTGTAGGGGACAGGGTGAGACGGATGACAGCATTGAATTTGAGCCTGCAAGGTTTTTTTAAAGGGAGTTAGGCAAAATAAATTTCTTGCTGAAGAGATTGTTTCCACTGTAAATATGAAGTTGGAGCCAGTAGCTGGTTAGGTTATGTGGCTAACTGTTTGTCTCTGTTTACAGTCTTTATGCTAAGCTAACCAGCTGCTGGCTCCAGATACATATTTACTGCACACAGATCACAGACTGTTTAAAAAGATGGACAACATGACTGCTCCCCAAAAGTGAAGCTGAAGTGTCTAAATCGCTACCTGCTGGCTGGCTGCAGTACAGGTCATAAATCCTGCCTCCTCCATGTTAGCAGATGGGACATGGGCCAAACTAAAAAGTCAACATTTAATACTTTTTTCTCAGAGATGGTTTCTGTCATTTTAGGTAGTTCTTATCACACTGGCGTTTGTTCAAGTGCCCGTGTTTCTGATAAGTTTGGTTTTAATTTGTTATTGGATGCTATAAAAACAAGGTGTAATGTTATGGTTGACAGCTGAGACCTGAGTGGTCGAGTGCGTATACTATACTCCCCGACTGCTACTGCGCAGACTATGTTCAAACTTCATTTCTGGATCGTGGGAGGACGTGGAGACATGGCGTTCATCCTTATTTACAGTCTATGGTATCAAAGACTTGTCTCACCTTTAACACAGGTAGGTGGACTGCTGCTCCAGGACAGGTCCCACTGGCAGGTGATGATGTCAGAGCCACTGATGTCATATCCTGGTTGACACTGATAGGTCAGCACACTGCCCCTCACATG